GAAGTAAAAGGTTTAGTATATATTCACTGTATGTTAATAAAGTAATCAGAGTGTAATAAAAATAGATTATAGAATTTACGCTGATGCAACTTTTTGTCTGAATGCACAACATGTATTGGAAGAGAAGGCTTGTAAAGACCTGTATTTGTCATGCCTCTAAAAGTAGATGTCATACTCCTTTTGTCTCTTCAATGTCAAAAAACTTTCCTTTGAGAGGCAACTTTAATTTTTTTGGGGGGAAAAAAAAACACAAGAAGACAAATTTGAAGAACATGCAGGACGATTGAGTACACATATTTATTTTCGGAACAGAAGCGATTCTCTGATTGCTTATTGAATAATGAAAAGATGCATTGTCATGCAATACAAAACATTTGGAATACGTTTTCTGACTGAATAACATAAGATTAAAAGTCATCTGCTTAATTCACAGCCATTTACAAGTCAACTACTCGGGCAATTGCAGAATCGTTTTGATCCTGAGCTTGTAAGACAAACCTAATATCACTGGATTTAAACACTTCTTTAATCTTCCGAGAACATTCCTTTTTAGCTCATATTCCAAGAATATTAAGTGAATACAATTATTGCAAAAGAAATTGAATATTCATTTGCACTATGGCTTGGTAGTTTACTAACGAGTTAACAAAACTTAAATTCTGCTTTTTGTGTCTAAGAATACAACAATATTTTAAATATTTACAAATAAAATATTAAATTGGAGATTTAATTGGAGCCTCACCAGTTGCCTAGCATTTGAAGATTGTTAAATACTAATTGTTTGTTGCGAAGTCTAACCCAGGCTGCATGGTTGGTTTTCGTAGTTTTCTAGGTTCTCTTTACAAAGGTTCTCTATGAAAGCATCTTAACCAAATAGCTCCCATGTTCTTTCTATGTTCAAATACCAACTAACCTAGTTTAAGCGCACGATTTCCAAGTGAAGTTACTAGCAAAACCCGAATATACTCATTAAAAATCATACGTAGCTTGCCAATCGGGAGTAACATGAAAGATACGGCGCCAATAATTTGAATTGCTGTTACAAGGTACACTGTTTCTAAACTTAGATGGTCATTCCTTAATTAAATATAATTGATTTGTAACTTCTACTAGAGCTGACATGGTAAGAATTAAAGTGCAAATAAATATAATATCGTGTGCAGTCTTGATTAATATAAAATTAGAAATATTTTGCATAGAAAAATATTTGCATTCAGACAAAGTTTTTTGAAATATTTGCAATTACTTTATCAGAAGGATTTATTAATAACCATAATAATTACTTATTATATTACTGATGATTAGAATTCAGTTCTTGACAATTACATTCTAAACTAGAATTTTAAGGATATAATGAAAATTATGCATAAAAATACGTAGCTATGCATAAAAATACATAGGTAAGTTGAAAAATAAGTTTCCCCTGTCGAATGTGGTCAGAGTTGTGTATGAAGTCAAAAAATAGAATGAGATTAAAGATATGACATACCTTATTTTCCACATAGGTACCCAAGTACATTGAGCCATTTTGTCAACTTGATAGCTTCAAAAAGCCTCCAGGAAAAAATCAGGGCTTTGCATATGAAAAAGCGTTGAAACGGTTTTTCACTTCAGTATTGCTTCCAAATCGCCTTCCCCCGAGATTTTTCTTCAAAGCCGGAAACAGATGGAGTCGTTGGTGCGAGATTAGGACTGATGGCGATGGTGTAGGCGCTCCCAACCAAGAATGCAATATGGTTTTGCGTTGCCGTCGCCGATGTGGTCTGGCATTGTCATCCAACAGCAGAATGCCAGATGTGAGAAGGCCAGCCGCTTTTTCCAAATCGCCTCTTTCAATTTGACGGGTGTCACAGTAGTGCATAGCATTGTGGTTCCACCTCCAAAAGTCCAGCAACAAAACTCTTGACGTCCAGAAAACTGTGAGGAGCACTTTACCTGCAGAGGGATTGTCTGAACTTCTTTCGGACAGGTGATGATGGATGTTTTTCCACTCCATAATGCGGCCTTCGATCCTGTCGTGAATGGTGGACCCCCCGTTAATCCCCCATCACAATCCGAAACAGAAAGTCATTGCCATCTTCATGGTAATGCACAAGATGTCCAGGCTGACCTCCATGCATTGTTCCTTGTGTGTGGGGCACCCCATCGTGCTGACATTTTCTGTATCAAAGAATGTCGTGGATGATGTTTGAGCTCGCTCATTGTGAGATTCCAATTCTTCCGCTACTTCATCGATGGTGATACGCCGGTTCGCTCTAATCATGTCATCTACCTTCCTTTTGCAATCTGTAGTGGCCGTGCGCGTCCATCCAGCTCTCGGTATGTCCTCCACTTGTGACGTCCGTCACTGATGTGCGACACCATCCCGCACCATTTGCTTCGACATCAAACCTGGCCCATAGACTTCCACGAGGCGGTTTATGAATTTCTGTTCCTGATAGTCCATGTGCCCATTCATAGTGATAACCGCTCTCACTTCCTCCTCCTTGACCACGAATTCAAAACGCACCTCTCTCCCTACCTACCAGGGCTCATGAGGCTGTCTCCCTTTGCACAGGCACTGTACAGTTGCCATCTGCTTGATTTGCAAGCGACCTCTACCCAGTGGTGTTATCGGTGACTTGCACGTTTTCCTGCCTGGTGTCGCCTTTCGCCCATAGCGCGTTCAACGCTTCTTCCATATGCAAAGCCCTGATTTTTTCCTGGGGCTTTTGAAGCTAATCAATGATATGCGAATGTCTCAATGTACTTGGTACCTATGTGGGAAAATAAAGGTATGTCATATCTTTAATGTCTCATTCTATTTTTGACTTTCATACACAACTCTGACCACATCGACGGAAACTAGTTTCAACTTACCCTCGTACATTTTAGGATAAAATATGAGTTGATTTTTATGTTTAAAAACTTCTTGAATTCATTTAATAAGCATCGTACCCTCGTTGTTAATTTGAATTCCAGAATGTTGGGTGTCGTTTATATAATTATTCTTACTTGTCCACAGAACCTGCTGACCTTATCCAGCGATTAAGTAGCTGCAGATCATTTCTACATAACCATTGAAATTCCATTAATTCAGTCTCTAGAGGGTTGTATGTTTATATCATAATTTGACTTTTATAAAAATGATTATTTCTAAATCTTATGTTTCTATAAAAATATACTGTGTGCTTTAAAAATATGGATGATAGTACCAGCCGCTCTTTCAGCCACTTCAAAAGCATCAGTTTGTTTAGAAATAAATTGTGCAGTTAATGTCATAAAAATTTTCATAAAATTCAAATAAACATCAAACGAAAATTCTCAGTTTTAGACAATTCGATTTAAACGAAGTAAAGTAAAGTAGCAGACGATAAAACGCCGAAGGTAAAAATTTACTCTTACAAAATATTTTTTTTAAAAAAAAAAAAGAAAGAAATTTTAAAAAATAGTTAAAAATTAGAAATCATTATAATTTAAAAAAATAGCTTTTCATATAGTATTAATAAATATTTATTACGCATCATTGAGGGAAAAAATTTCATATAATTAATTCTCCGTAAAATTTATACTTGAAATTTAAGGTTAAAAATAGCTGTGGGCAATACAGTGTAACAAAAAATCCATAGACCACATTTGGCGTTATTATCGCTCAAAAAAAGATGCCAAATTTCAAAACGCGAAAATATGTAAATTTGTGTATATCTTAGAAAATTTTGAATAAAAAAAATAATTTTTTGCAGATATGCTTAAAAATATACTACTTTAAGATGATGGTAAAAATTTTATAGGTTATAATTCAAAATTTTTTTCGAAAAATTTATAAAAATTATTTAAAAATAGAAATTTAAAAAATAAAACACAAAAAAATGGGTAAATTTTATTTGGAATGAACCTAAATTTCGAAATGTGAGAGAAAAAATCAAAAAAGTTTAATAAAAAAAGAGATATAAATAAATATTTGCCAAATTCAATTAACATTGAGGAGCTAAAATTTTGAGAGCTAATATTTTAAAAACTACTCGTACGATTTTTACAAAACTTGGTATTCTGGCATAATTTGAGTCGTAGAATCGAAATATGTAAAAAATTGGTATGTTATTTCAGAAAAAGTCCGATTTTGTGTCAAAATACCTATGTTAGAATAGTGCTATATATAAATCTAATATATATCCTAAGTCTCGCTTTCGAGACATGAAAAATGCAATTTGTATATCGTGAATTGGCCCAGTAGAACGGGAGATATAGCACTGTCTTTTTTTTGGGGGGGGAGCAGTGTACAATTTCACAATTTCACTTTGAATGTGTGGAAATGGCCTTCCTTTCATCTTTTTAAGTTGCTATGCATTGCACTTGCTCATGCATTTTACATACCCTTATGTACCCTCTGATATCATGGTGCTGATAATTGCATATCCATTACCATTCTACTTAGTTTTTTATTATACTGATTTCAAAACGCCCTTTCCAAGTATTTCATGGTTTTTTGTTAATAAATAATTTTTTGCTTTAGTTTTGCAAATTAGGACATTTCAGAATTTGAAGCCATCCACTAGATTTCACACTTCAGGGGACTTGATCTTTCCAATAGAAGTGAAATAATTTAATTTCTGTCCTTTATATGCAGCACCATCAGAAAAACATTCATGAAGTGGTATATTAAGCAGTGTTATTTATAGTATAACATCTTTATAAATTTTTTGAAATCCAAGTTAATAGGGCAACAATTCAAAGACTTTGTCATCTCTTTGGAAATAAATCTCCTTAAATAATTCAGAGAATGTGTTCCAAGACTGCTTTATAAAAATTACCAAAGTCCCTGATTGCCATAAGTTATTGTGTTGCCTGAAATCATTATCATTAAGGTGACTATTTTTCTAAAATAAATATATTTTGGAAACTTCTTGAAGCTATCTTATACAATGCTTTATTATTTTATCTCATTTTGAAAAAGTCAATGAAAATACTTATTGAATTGGTCATAAAATGTGTATATCTAAGCATATATCTTTCTTTTATAGCCAATAAAGAAGCAATAAGTTTGATGAATGGTTCCACATCATCATTTGTGAAAGAAAACAACACCATCAATTCTCTGAACTTTTCCAACTTTAATGGTAGTTTAAATGGTTCCTTAAATGGTCCTACACCTCTCATACAACCTTCCAGCCAAGAATCAACTCTGACATTCCGCAAGCCAACAAAACTCGAGGCCTTACCTAATGGTGGGGGAGATCTGTACAAGAGGGGTAAACGGAAAATTCGGACTAATGTTGGATCCATGGAGTGGCCAATCTGACGGCCTCCGTCCCCCAGTGAACCAGTACACAGTGAGTACAGGGTGCTAAGGACGGTTCTGCCGCCCATCCGTCCTAAGTCAGATAAGGGGAGCGTTGCCCATAACTCATAAATTATTTGCCTTGCACATACTTAGGGTTGTCACTTCCTTTGCTTCTTTAGAAATTATACTACATAATTTTGCACATATTCTGATTTTGTGTATTTTGTCACTTTTAATTATCTTTAGCTCAAGATTTGCTGTTTGTATGATGTTATATGTTAAGAAATGTTATTTAATTGTTTTAGTAATTATCAATTTTATGTAAAACCTAACTTAATCCTTAGAACTTTTTGCTCAGGTTTCAGAAATCTGATACTTTTGTGATTTCTTTTTAGTAATTTTTTAGAAACATTTGCCAAGTGATGCAGTCTTGGTTTTAAATTAATGTTTGGAAATGTTCTTTTTTGTTACGTCAAAAAAAGACATTACTTTTTCATTCTATTACAGTAACACAATAATACTGGTAGGAGTAAGAATGGGAACAGTGAATCAAGTTTGCTAATTTGAAATGCATCAATGCAATAGCAAATGATCTACTGGATTAATGGTTTCCTAATTTTTTTTTATTTGCTGGTTATTATAAGAGAGGTAATACAAATTATAAAAGGTTTTTTTTTTTTTTTAAAGTTTGAAATATGTCAATCCCCTAATCCCCCTTGCTGAAGCATCCAAATATAAAATGCAGGATGTGACTTCAAAATGTTCAAAGTAAAATGTATTCAAATATTGCATAAAATAACAAAATATACGGTGTTATAATCAGAATTAAATTTATAATTGGAAAGAATTATCTATATCAAGAAAAGCTATAGAAATACAGAAAATATTGCTTGTTTGGTAATTAAAAATAAATGGAGGATGAAATTACTGAGGTGTTTAATGTAAAGATATTCACATAATATTGTGAATAACAAATTATGGCAATTGAATAACTTTTATTGCTAGTAGATATTCATGAATATGAAAAATTTTAGAAATATCCAAAAATCTTAAAAATTAATCTTATTAATTTAAAAGTTCTAAAACTATCAAATATGAGCATTTAGAAATCAAGGGCATGTTTTACAAATTTCAAGAATAATTATTTCATTATTTTATCAGTTTTCATTTGACAATTAATTAAATCATATAGCTTTGGACAAAATAACTGAAGTGAAATTTTCATGTTGATTTCAAGTTACCTGAAGTATTTATTCTGTAATGTGTGTTTTGGGATTTTGTTGGCAACCCTATATAAGAGAGGCCTTTGATTTAGAGCATTTTTAAGCTACTGCAGCTCAGAACTTTGAAGTTCTGTGAAAACTTATAGTATTGATAAATATCAAGTGCCAGAATTCAAAGCATCCTTACTCCTGTGCTGATTTACTTTTAGTGTGGTACCTATAATATTTATTGCAATTATTCACATCATGGTATCTGAAAAATATTTTTATACATCTGTAAGTTAATTTTTCTGTTTTTTCTAATTATATACTATAAAGAGCTTTACTACTTTTGTTAAAAAATGGTATGTTCAATGTGATATTATACTGATAAATAATAATTGTGTGATGAAAATATGGTGTTAATAATTTATATAGTGTAAAATAAATTTTACACTGTAGGAATTATTAACATTTTCTAGTCATATTTTAAATATTTTTCTAATTTCAAGAAATATTTATAAAATTGTGATATAATTTATATATTTGTGTTGTGATTTTGTAGCTATATTACTCAAATAATAAGAAAGGTACCATTAAAATAGTAATTATCAGTCACTGGGGGACAAATTAGTGCCTATTTTTTGTAAATAGATTGATGTGAATAAGATTTTTATATTTGTTAAAATTGTTTGTTGTCCACAAATTGAATGTTTTTAGTATAAAGCTGGGTTAGGGTCCTAATAGTAATTAAAGTTTAGTCAACAATATTGATATTTCATATGTTGTATGTTATGTAAATTAAAGCTATATTTCATATGTTATATGTTGAGTAAATTAAAGCTGCAGGTTGTTGAAGGTTTAAAAATTTAAAATTGAACTATTATTAAAATCAATTTTTCATGTTTTTCCTGTTTTTGAACATGTTGCTGTGTTCTTAGTCATAAAGAATTATATATGCCATTTTATCTAATGTATATATTTGTTTGCATTATATTTTAGCATCTCAGTTTTCATTTTATTAAAATAATGCTTTGCTTTCATTTTTAAAAAATTGAATTTTTTTTAATTAAAATAAATTTTGCGAAAAGAATAAATATTTAAGCTTTTCTGCAAATTATAGTTTTCATTAATGTTAGAATTGTGGAAGGAAAATAAATATGCATTAGTCTCTATTTCATAAAAAAAAAATCGATATTATATGCGATTTAAACATTAATATGGTTACAGGCTGCAGTTTTAAAATATAATTTATTATTTTTTTTGTTACAGTAATCTATAATAAATATTTCTGAAATTCATTTATAATTCTAAATTTTTTTAGAAAGCTTTCTTAATCAGGTGCTCTGTAAAATTTTCATGAACCAAAATAGGTGTTGGAAAATTGGTAGTTCTCTTACAGTAACCTGCAATGTGCTTGCGATATGTAAATGAAAGATTTAAGGGACTAGAAATGACTGTCCATTTTCTGATGAAGCTCAATTTTTGTAGAAGTGAGATTTATGTAATTGTGTAGTTATTTATTCATAGAATGAATTTTGAAAGAGAAAAAGATAGCATTCCAACTTTTTTTGCAGATTATACTAGAATGAAATATATGAGCACTTCTATTATTCTACTATTCAGCCCTTTTTGATCTTCAAGGATGACTGTCTTAATTGCTCATAATAGAATCACTAAATGTTCTCATTATTATTGAAAAACTTAAGCAGTGTAGTACGAACATAATTTACATCAAACATTTAATTTGAACATAAAATGTTCTTAATGAAATATTATTTATTATTGCTTAAATAATTTTATCTGAAAATGTGATATATTGTCTCTTGTTTTTTCATATTTTTTGTTTTATATTTTAGTAGTGTTATATTTAGAAAAGATTTCTAGTCGTATTTACAGAAATGATTATGTGTTAGGTGTATTTGTTGTTCTAGTCATACAATGATCTTAAATTAATATTTCCAACTTAATTATATTTGAAAGAATTTTTTGATATTATATTTTATTTTGTCATGCATTCAATTTCAAAGCTAGAAACAGTTTTAAAGCATAAAAATCTCAGTGAAATTGAAGAAAGTTTGAAAGAGTATAGTTTGTATAGAGAACAATGTTTGTGTATTTTATTTTGTATGTTTTGCATTCTATCATAAAGCTAAGGGAATTACTGTATAAAATTACACTAAATTCTAAGAAAAGTTTGCTAAAATATATATATAGTTTGAAGACGACAGTATTTGAGGAAATATTTTTAGGCGTATTTTATTTTATTATCTTGCAAATTGCATTATAAAATAACACTAAATTTCAAGAAAAGTTATAATTTGTGAAACAATGCCACTGACTTTTATAAATTGGTGAAGGACTATTTTGGAATGACATAGTTATCTATCTCATATATGATATAGGGTCCTAGCTGTTTGTTTATGTGTATATGTGTGTGGTTAAAATCTTCTTGAAAATTATGGAATGACTTAATATTATTAACTTTGAAGATTATTAACTTTGATATCTTTTTGTAATAAAGTGGAACACCAACTATTTATTACATTTGTATATAGAAAAAGTTCTTATGCAAATGGTAGAGCAAATAAATTATGAATATTAAATTCGAATTGTTGTAAACTGTGTGATGTGCATGGGATGAAGAAAATATATATTTTAATACATTAGAATCTTGGATGCGACCAAAAGCTCACAAGAGATATTTTAATAAATGATTGAATTAATTGCGTACTTATTTCAGTTAAATAATTTGTTAAGCTCTTTTTAATTTGGAATTATTGCTTCTGTTTTTATTTCTCTGTATTTAAAAAAAAAAAATATGCATACTGGCTATATCTTAAATAGCATGTTTTCTGTGCATACAGTTGTTAATGTGTTTAAATAGTATGTATTAGATTAGTATAATGCTTACTTTTTTTCTTTTACTGTAATTTAAAGTTTGATATAACTTCAAATATAACTTTGGTGCAAAATCCGACATTCAGTCATAATTTCATAGTCTGTAAATCAGTTATTAAAAACGTCTTTTTTCTTTCCTTTCCTCCTTTCTCATCTGAACAATAAACATTCATAATTATGTGTCATAAATCACAAAGCCATGGAGAATGCACAAATAAAATTTTTGTTAAAAATGGGATGTTATGGGTCCCTACCCCTCTTTAATAAATTTGTTTGCTTAAAGATGCCTCTATATTGGGAATGTTGTGCCATATATTGATTTCCCGGTGAAAAATTATTATTTACATTCCAACATTTATTATACAAAATGTTGGAAATTGAGTAATTATTCTTGCAAATTGTATTAAATTATGTATAGTATTTAATGATCTGCGTAATTATTTTTGGTGACGTTGTACAATTTTTTTTTGTTAGTTTACTGTCATGCGTCATTCCTGTGCACAATTCTCAACTACATTAGTTGATATTTTAAACACTTCATTTTGTATTCAACTTATGAATCAAAGGTCAGTGTATTATTGTTCATGTAAAACCTATAGGAACTCATTGTTCAGGGTTTATCATTTATTATAATTGCTCCAGAGATTGAAAGAATGAGATATTTTGAATATCTGGTACAAAGAGTGATATAAATAAATGTAGATAATTGATGTAATATATATTTCCATATTGTTGGAAAAAGTTGTACAGATGTAAAAAAAAAAAAAAAAAAAAAAAAAAATGCTAATAAAGTAATTTTTTAACAATAATGTTGGCTTAATTTTTTTCTTGAGGCTGGCTTTGTCTGCAGACTTAATATTTCTTAATAGTTTACAGCTTTTAATTTTATTTTCAAATTTAAGAAAGAATTTTTAACAGTGTAGATTAACTTTTAAGTTTTTGTTTCATCTGAAATGCTTGTTAACTGAATATTTTCTGTATTGCAAGTTTTAGATTAATAATAGTTGGAACATTTTAATATATGATCATTTCAAAATTTATTATGAAAAAAAAAAGTTTAAAAGTTTAAATTTCCTTGCCTCTTTTAGTGTACCTTTTTTTCCTCTGTCTTAAGTAGACCTTTCAGGGTTATTTATAAATATTATTCATGTACTCAAGTAATGTTTTAGGTCATATATAATAATAATTACAATAAATAATTAATAAATAATCTTAATGAAATCTGCTATATAAAAAAAAAAAAAACATTTTTTTTTTCTAATTAGTCCCTTGGTGAAGATTTCTATGTCTGCTGGATGCAGTGAATTTTGAAATTTATTTTATAAAATGGTAATCATTGCAATGACCGAGATATTCATTCTCAAAAACTTGCATTTTTTTTTTTTTCCACCGTGGAAGTTTCCCGCCACCACAAATATCGTCTGTGCAAAGAATTCCCATTGGCATGTTTAATCCTATTTTGTCAAATGATTTTTGGCATTTGAAAGAAAGAGACTTGCTTTAGAACGCTATATTGTGAAATTTGTAAAAAAAGTATTGTTATCATATAAGGTATCTTAAATGAAACTATCACGTTACGAGACTAGAACCATCATTTACTTCCAGTTCTGCTGCAAAAAGTCAGCTACAGAATATCACCAAATCATGTGTATAGCTTTACGTACTAATGTTGTATCATATGACACTGTAAAGGTTTAGTACCGAAAGTTCAGGACTATGACATTCAAGAAGCGGAGCACTCTGACTGGCCTGCTGATGTTGATGAGGCCAGCATGCACGAACTTGTAGAAGAAGACCAGTATGAAATGAATTAGTTCTGTTTCCGCGAAATTGGAGAGTACAATCTCCCTCCCACAGCTCCTCAGGGGATGTCACGACAAATCATTTATAAGAGTTGGACAGTTTCTTTGTGAATAAGTCTTCATCTTAACATGGTTAGACATTGTCTGTTAGTTTAGGCTCCTCTAGAAATCTCTAGTTTCATTCTATTTGTAATTCTATTACAATATTAGCTGCTATTTTCACATCTTATCTTAATCAATAGGGATGCTTTAGACATTAATTGAAACTAAATGAAAAAAAACCTATAGCCCTTTATAAAGGTTATCAATATCGAATTTGGAATAGAAATAAGGAAAATGTAGTTTTACTAGATTTGCATAAATGAAAGAGTTAAAAGCTACAAAGGCGCAATTAAGACAAAAGCAGAAGTCGTTTTAGAAGAAAGAACGTCATTTTAGAACGAATATGTATTCTGAAAGATTTTATTATAACTCACCTTTAAGCAGAATTTCGGGAAAATAGTATTTTTTACTTCAGGAAACGATCGTTTAGTTCATTGCCAAAATCATAGCAAAGTTTGAACATCTTTCTCTTTCCTTTTGAGTACAGTATTATCTGAGATCGTAAATATTTTTCAATTATTTCTTTTAAAAATTACTTTTTTAAAAAACCAAAACTGTTTTTGCTTTCCTACATTTGGGAAGAGGCCAATGTCCAGTCAGCCCCCCACTATGTAACCTCTTTAGAAAGGGGGTAATGAAGATTAATGATTCCGCGGAAACAGGAACGTTTTTGACAACCGCGTAAATAGGAATCGCGGAAACAGGAAGACACCGTATGAAACCATTCGAGTTATTCTACCTAACGAGTTAGATGTTAGTGCCTTGTCCATTAGTCGCACTATGCATCGCATAAACTTGACGTACAAGTTCAATTGATGGGTGCCGCACGAGCTGACTCAAGCAGATAAGGACAGATGTATTCGTGCCTGCACTAATCTGCTCGAACGTCAACGCAAGGACAAAATTCTCAGTCTTTTAGAAAAGATAAATTAAACGATATACGGCAACTCACATTGCAGAAAAACTGTTATTCGAGAAAGAATATTTATTTAAAAATAAGCTATTAACTTGTTTAGACTTTTGCTTGAAAAGTAATTTTGTTTCTTTCCACAATTAACATAAGAACCAACATACTGAGATCATTCAACTGAGAAATCGTTAAACATTTTTCCCAGAACTTTGGAATAACTACTTTTACTGATGCCAAGTATAGAAGAATTAACCAAAAAAGAATATGATTGCAAATTTTAGTAGTATTTGGATAATAAGTATTTCTCATGACGCCCCTGACTGACACAGTATTTCAGCTTGGAATCCAACGGATCTGCTAGAATGTTTTAGTAATCAGTACACTGGGAATCATTGAAAATACTCCCAAAACTATCTCTCGAATCGTCCTGAAGAGGGACATAGTGTGACCAGTGTAGCTGAAGAGCTCGGAATGAACAAAAGAGTCGTATCGCGCGCTTGGAAAGCCTTCCAAACCATAGATAAAGCTGTTAGAAAGGTTGATGGTGGCCGCCCCAGGAAAACAACTGCAGCAGATAAACGATATATCATCCTGCAGGCGAAAAGAGCCCGAAAACAGCAAGGGCCAGAGCTCAGCAACGGGCGACAATTGTCGTGGTTTACTGTGTCCAGACTCCTTCACAAAGGGGGCCTATTCGGCCGCTGTTCTGTACGCTGCATCCTTTTTGTTGGCCATCGGCTCCACTATTTAGAGTGGTGCAAGGAGCGCAAAAACTGGGCGTCTCGTCAATGGTGTCATTCGAGAGTAGTGCCACAAGCGATTCTCAATGATTTTGAGCAATTGATTTGGAGAGAACGTCGGGAATACGGTTTAATCTCAGTAACATCACGGAAAAGAGACCGTTACGGATGTCCTGAAGATCTCGTCTGGAGAGGCATTATGCTGACCGGGCGGACAGAGCTCCACGTTTCCGACAGAAGTTCTGTAACCGGAGATCGCTGTTGTCAGGAGGTGATCTTTCCTCATGTGCGTCTGTTCCGAGGTGCCATTGGAGCAGACTTCGTTTTTATGGATGACAATGCACGGCCACACCGGTCTCCTGCTGTTCAGAAGCTATTGGAAAGTGAAGATATCACTCGAATGGATTGGCCAACGTACTGCCCTGATTTAAATCCCATAGAACGTGTGTGGGAGGCTTTGGGGAGACGCCTTGCGGCACAATTACATTCTCCGGGGAACACCCAAAAGCTGAAATAGATGCTAATTGAGGAATGGGCACTCTTACCTCAAGAACTGTTGGACAATCTGACGCTGAGTTTGCAGAGACGGTATAAAGCAACAATTCCAGTAAGGGGAGGGCATATCCCATGCTAAGGAACATCTGCTTGTTATTCTTCCTCTTGTACAGACAATCATGTGTAACCATACTACGAGTTCAATAAAACCTTTCTTTATTTGATTCCATACTGCATGTATTGTATTCATTTTGCGCAACTATGCTTTCGTCATCGTTTAAATACAAATTGTTGTCTCTCATTTCTGAATTTCATGTCTCTCAGATGATTTTTCATGGAGTTATGCCAAAAAGAACACCTGTTGTTAAGTTTTGCATACCAGTGTATCATTCGAATCGTCCTGATAAATTTGGATGTAGATAAAGGTTAATGCGCATCACTGGAAATTCTCAAAACATCTCTTGAATCGTTACGATAATTCTGTATATACATAACCTATTGGTAATAAATCTAATAGCTCATACCCGGCAACAGAAACGCTTCATTGAACACATATTCTATCTGTCTACCAGCCGAACTCCTCAAACTAGCTGTTGAATTTTCAGCTCTTTTTCATATACATGGCAAATCAAAACTAATGTTACAGAAAGAAAACATACCTGTTGTAAAGGATATTAGGTATTTTTGAAGCAGGAGTCATGAAAAATGAGCAATGCCCTCGCCGGGACTCGAACCGATGGATTTCTCGAATACGCGCCGAGTATGCTGACCATTACACCACGAAGGCATGCTAAGAAGGCGGGAGAAATACCTTATATATTCCCCTTTTTATTGGCGACTGGAGAATAGGGGACACAATAGCTAAACCCTGGTGGTAGAGAATCATCATCCACCACCTTTTTTAGTTCGGCGCCATTGTAGAGACATGGGGTATTTTTGAAGCAGGAGTCATGAAAAATGAGCGATGACCGGACATAAGCACCGGGACTCGAACCACAGACCTCTCGAATACTCACCGAATATGCTGGCCATTACACCACGAAGGAATGCTAAGAAGGCGGAACAAATACCTTATACTGTCACTACTATAATGAATTTACTTCGCAAATGCAGATATAACATGAACGCGTAATTCTTCATATTTTTATGGACATGCACAGATGTTCAATGTGGGAGCCTTTTGTAACACGGCAGACGTCTGCGCAATAGCTTAGTTCCTAAGCTCTTGCCAAATAGGTATTCTAACTGTTGGACCCATAAGGGCGGTCGAATGACTTATACCGCCTCGTCATGAATTTATAAGTAAAATAACTTAGGAGAACGTTTAAAATAAATTATTGTCAACCTAACAGTTACATTGTACAACTTTCCATTTTGTTGCCTACCTGCGTACAGAAAATAAATCTCAAATGGAGTCTGTAGGCAGAGAATACTTTAGAAAATAAAAGATAAGACTTTAAAAATAAACGCTCACGGGAGCAAAATTTCACATTATTGCCTGAAATTCGGAGTGATCGAGTCGTGGACCATTGTGCAACTTTTCGTTTTGCTACTAAGCTTTCATGATGAACGTGTTGATCGAAAATTTGGAAGACAAAGAATATCAACAGATTAAAAGAAGTGTAATGCTGGCATCAGAGCCGGGGCCACCGGTGCAGCTGCAGAGCGGCAATAGTACTAAAGGGTGAAAATTTTTAGATATGCCTAAGGTGCCTTTTAGGTATTCCTATGA